TCTCCCCCCGCATGCACATGGGTACGCAGCGCACCGCACTCGTCAGAACGCACAACTCGTGGCCAAGGTGCACAGCTGGAGGTTGAAGAAGTTAGGCGTCTCACACTTGCTTGTCAAGAAAGACATGTCGACTGCATCCCCCTCGACGTCGCGCGCTGCGTTGCAGGGGGCGGTGATGGAGGTCATCCCTCACCCGCAGGATAGGGCGCTGCTGCATCAGCGTCGCACAGAGGCGGTGGTGGAGATACGGGCGGGGGAGCAAGTTGGATACTTTCAGCCTACACATGGTTCTGGGATGGGGGATGGGAATGCGTGTGAGCTCTTTGCGCGCAGTTTCTTGAGGCCTATCGAGTCGCGGAGAAAGCAGCTCTACCAGGGCGTGGCTCATTTTCAAGATGAGCGTCTGCCGGCGCCTGCCCCTCCTGTTCGCGCCACGAGCCTTATGACCTGTGCCTTGACGGGAGAGATGCACGACGTTGCGATCAGAGATTACGCTGGCGACATACACCAGGCGATACCACTCACTTGCCCGAACCCGCTGGAGGCCAGGTCTCGCGTGCTCGCCTCGAACGCTTTCCTAGATCGTGAACTCCAGGAGCAGGGGGGGGTTGCACAGAACCCTGACAAATAGGTCTGTATGCCTGTCATGGTGGGTCCTGGGGCTTATTCGGCCGCTCGTACTCTGCTTTCTCAAGGGGTTCATTTGCCTGGGGCGGTCTCGGCTGAATCGGTTTATCTTGGAGGAATGGAGCAACTTACTGGAGGATGTGGAGCTGAGATCAGGAGGAGGGTGGAGGCGACGAGAGCGGCTTGGAGGAGGTTGGGCAGATTTTGGGACACTACACACTCCATTAGATTAAAGAGGATGGTGTTCTCTGGCCTGATAGTTAGTGCTTCGTATTCGGGGTTGGAGACCTACCTCCCTGGCAAGCTTGATTTGAAGCGGCTCGATGCCGTGGTCTTCAGTTTCGCCCGCGTTGTGCTCCGCGGCCGTCGACCCGAGTTTGATCCAATGGATCCTGGCCAGGCTCCGAAATACAGATCGATGTCGGAAACGCAGGTGATGAAGGCACTCAGGATCACGGACTCCAGGGCTGAGCTGTTGATTCGACGGTTGCGGCAGTGGCAGCGCCTTGTACGTTCCCCTGCTGATAGCAGGCAGGCCCTCACTGTGCTGTTCGGTTCACTGGGCGGCCTGGAGGAGGACAGCACCTTTGCGCCGACCGGCAGGATTGCCAGCAACGCGAATCCGTGGGCCAAGCAATTTGAGCAGGATGTCGGGTCTTTACAGTATCTGCGCAATGGCCGCGAGTTCCTTGCGACGCACTCGCTCTTTGAGATCCTCACTGAGCCGTCCGTGAGTAAGAAGTTCTGCAGTTTCAACCCTATTCTTCTTCGTGAAGTTCCAGAGCTCCGCAGCCAGGCACAAGCCCGAAGGACCCATACTTAACCTCCAGAGGAGCCCCTTCAAGAGCACGTCTGCGATCTTCCTGGAAAAGGATTGGATGGAGGTGCGGGATGGTCTATTACAGTCGGGGGGCGTTGATAGCCCACCAGTGTCATCACCCTGCCCATGGGATGCGGGCCCCCTCAAACATGTAGGTCTTGTCTAACCAGTGCCTTTACTCTATGTCGACCTTTCGGAGCCAGGTTGCCGCCAGGGGGCGCGTTGTACAATCGCGTCGTAGGGGGGGGGGGGGGTCTGTGTGATATGAGTCCCTATGCTCCGCCTGTCCTGGAACCTGTGTTGGATTCGGTCATGCCTTGTTTCGTGGACGCTATGCCGCCAGGCTCGAGACGCATTGAGCCTTTCGAGACTTTTGCTGAGCCCCAGAGGCACATCAGAGACGTTCACGCCCCCCCCCCCGCCGCCAGCATTAGTTTTCGACGAGCGTGGATTTGGCGGAGAGGGCGATGAGCCAAGGCGCCGAGGAGCGAGGTCGCGCCCTCCGCTCTCGCAGCGGAGACCGCCGAGGCCGTCCAGGCCGACGCGGAGGCGACCAGGCCCCCCGAGTCGGGCGCGGGGAAGGAGCCCTAGGACCCCAGCAGGCGGCCCGACTGGCGGAAGGAGGCGCTCCTCAGCAGCAGCAGCAACAGCAGCAGCAGCGTGTCGGACCAGAGTCGGACCGCACCACCAGGGTGCTCGCCGACGTATTCGACCAGGCCGACAACGCGTTCGGTCTCCAGAGGCAGGGTATCACGAGGCTGCAGACGGAGGCCATCCTGATGGAGCTCATACAGGCGTTCTTCCCAGCGCTGGTTCGCATGACACTGCGCAACGCACAGAGCATCGCAGCGCTGGAGGCGACGGCGCGCCGCCAGATCCACCTCGAGAAGGAACGCCAGATCTGCCAGGCCATGAGGATCACCAGCCAATTCTTCGCCCAAGAGGCCACCAGGCTGCGGCGGGAGAACGCGCGGGCGCTGCGGGAGAAGGCCATGGTACCAGAGTTAGACGCCCTCGGAGTTCCTCACCCACACCTGTGGCTGGCCTTGCTCGGCGCGGTCCGACAGCAAGGAGAGAGGGTCGGAGCAGCCGACGCGAAGGCGATCGCGGATTATCTCGACGGCATCAAGGCCGACGGAACGATGACCAACGAGAAGATGTGCAACGCGGTCAGGCACTGCAGGATATCATACACACACGACAGGAAGACAATGAAGATACACATCTCGGCAGAGAGCTCTGGCGTCGTGCCGCAGCTGCTCGACTCCTTGAAGCAGCTCGGGGCGGAGACCAATCGCGGGACCCCACCCGAGTCGCACAGCGAGCGGATCATGCAATTACTGCTGGATCATGCCGAGATGTAGATACATGGTTGACACAGCCCCCCCGAACATCGATTTCGACACGTCGAATTGGCATCGCCTCCCAGGATGATTTCGACACACAATGACCTCGCCTCCGAGAATGATTTCGACACCCCGTATGATGACGCCTCTGAGGGTGAGCACGCTCGCTAGAGAGGCTTTGCCATCTTACCTTGCTCCGCCGCCTCGCGAGGGCCTGAGCCCGTGCAACCGCAGGCCTGCTAGGGAGCCTCACCCTCCTCCTCCTCCCCTGACTCGTCCTCCGACGCCTCCCCCGCTTGACCTCCCTACTCGAAACTTTTTGGAGCCCCAGCCCCCCTCGTCCTCGAGTGCGACTTTAACCCCCCCTCGTCCTCGGCCGCTGAGCCCCCCTTCCTCCCTTTCAGAATCCTGTGGCTCGGTCCTGAAAGGCCAGCATCCTTCGTTTAGTTGGAAGAATCCCTCTGGGACCCGATCCTGTTACGCACCGAAGGACGCAGGGATAGAGTTGGGCCCTAATTAGTTCTCGCTCTCGCTTGCGTTCCATTTTCGTCTCGGCCTACTGTAGTGGCATCCAAGTTTTGTCGGGGGCGCTCGGCGGCTCCAGGGGTCTCTCCGAGGCTGGAGTCCGCAGTGGGGCGTTCATGCCCCCCCCCCCCCCCCTAGGCACTGCCCGCTTTCGAGCGCACTCGAGGTGCTTGGGTCTTGAAGCAGTGCTGGGAAGTCTTCCACTGGCGCTGAGTTACAGACACCCGTGCACCTGATGAGCCCGCCGCCGCCGCCCTCCTTTCCCTTTGACATCCTGACCTTCCTCATCTCTATTCCCCTTCCCCATGCCCTCCTCTCTCCCCCCCCCCCCCCCCCCCCCCCCCCCTCCCCCGCCCCTCCCCCCCCCCCCCCCCCCTCCATCCTTCCTCCACTTTCTCCCCCCCCCCCCCCCGCCCCGCCGATATTTCATCTCCGTTCCCTTGGCGAATCCACCGCCCCCCAATGCTGAGTTTCCCGTCCCTCCACCCCCCGCTCCCCCTTCCCCCTACCTTTTCCTCATCCTTTCGTCACTCCATCCCTCCTTATTCCTTACACTTCCTCCCTCGTCACTGTCTTCTCCGATGTTCCACCGAGGCGCCCCCGATGCATCTGCCGCCCCCAAATGCATCGATGCAGCGAATTGGCATTATGCAGCCCGCTCGCGTATCAGCATTGCTGGACGATGGATTCTTCAAGGGCGTTTTGACAAGGTACTGGCGTTGATGTTGCAATGATTTACGTTTCTTTGCATTGCTGCGCATTGCTTTATATAGCTGAGCGCTGCGTTGCATGACTGTGCATTGCACTGCGCTGTCTTGCACTGCCTTGCATTGTATTGTTTAGTATAGCGTCGCATTGCTTTGCGTTGCTTTGCGTTGCTTCGCATTGCTCCACAATGCTCCGCCGCCCGCGAAGCAGGCCGAGGCGTGCCCAGAAAGAGAAGATGTGTATGTATGCTAGATGTGCCAATGTGCTCTGGGCCTGGGTCAGACGTTCGTTTTTTTGCAGCCGGGGTGCTTGCGAGCAGTCGATTCGTGACCGCTGATAGCATTTGTGCTTGCGCCCCTTCCTCCATGTCTGTTTCGCGCTGTCGGCGGCGATCAGAACCAGCAGATTTCAGGATGACCATCGTCCTCTTCAAATCACCAGCCGTGTGAAGGCCATGTCCGAGGTGGTGACGTTGCCCCCCAATGGTCATCATGCCGCGGCGTCACTTTCAAATGCAGTTTTTTTGATCGTCTTCGCCTGTCTCAAACCCACCTCTGCGGAGCCGCTGTGCAAGCCCGTCCCGCGCCCGGTCCGCGCCGCCGTCCCACCGCGCGCGACTCCGCGCAGAATCGGCACCGTTTTCGCACGAGCAATTCCGAAGACAGCCGCCCCCGAGCTGACCGCGGCGTAGATGCGCGCGCTCCTGGACGCCGCGCAGAAGGCGGTCGACGACAACTTCAACGCAGCCGAGCACTTGCCAAACGCGGTCTATACGTTCGTCCACCCAATTGCGACCACGACGTCCCAGGGGTTTTACTCCACCACGATGATGTTGCTGGATGCCGTTCCAACGTCGACGAACGGTGCCAGCATCAAGATGTGGTCGCAGAAATCGCGCCCACTCTCCGCGTTCGTCATCCAGGTCGCAGGGCCGCAGAAAAGACAAGAGTCGCATGCTTTCTGTCATCGACGAGATGTTCGACACTTGCGAAGACGTCGTGGCGGAGCCGGCCGACGCCGTGTTCAAGGCTGCTCGCGAAGGAAGGCAGGGCTCGCACTCCATCGACGGCGGGGAGCTCGTGGTGAACTCCGCCGCCCTCCAAAGCTTCACTTTCCCAGAGTTTTTCTTCAGGTGCTCCGCTGCATTCAAGCAGGTCGAGTGCAGGGTGGGGGCAGGAAGACTGACCTTTGCATGGCGGCCAGGGTATGGTTTGGCAACGGCTTCAACTTGGACGAAGCGTGCGTCTCGGCATTGCTACCAAAGATAAGACGTTCTCCGCGAACGCGTCGTTGCTGAATTCGCTGCTGCTGTCCGGCAAAACCAAGAGGGCGACGCGGACAAGCGCCAATTTCGGGGCGTCGAGGGGCAAGACCGCGTCCATCTCCATACTCGGTAACGCCCACCCCGACACGGCGATTCCCATGGGCCGCGGATGCCCGGGCCCCCGCGCGGCGGTCACGAAGGTGCGGTTCGTGTTCTGCCTCGACCGCGTGGTAACTCGACACGCGCCCTTGCCTGAGGGCGGCCCGCTTGAAGCGGGAAACGTTGGGTGGACGTGGCTACCGCTCGCGGCCCAGCAAGCCGCGGTCTATGGGTGGGACCGCTTCAAGGACGACCCCGCAGCCGCGATCCGCGCCGAGCTCCGCGTTGACGACTGCTCTCAGTCCTCGCCATGCGAGGGCGTGCTCGTCGTCGAGGGGCCTCCGGGTGGCTGCGTCGTCTCCTCCCCCGCGGTCACCAGAGTCGATTGCTGTGCGTCCGCCGCCAAGACGGCGGGCCCATCGCCACCGAGTGCCGCATTTCTTCGCGCTGGAACCTGCCTGACCCCACGGACCACATCAGGGCGGCAGCTCGGCGCGCTGCTGAGCTATTCAAGGACAAGCCGCGCGCCGTCCTCGAGTTCGACGGCTGGGCCAAGAAAATCCTGTTGGGAAATCAGGTGAGCGACGCAGACAATCGGATTCGATTGCGCCGACATTCGCGCGAGGTCGTGCGTTGGCGCCCCTGTCTCCAATGTGGCGCGCGGCGATGGCAGCCCGCTGCGGCCGCCGCGTAAGGTCGCAATGACATGTCGCCCAAAACCTGTTTGTTGACGTCGCTCAGGTGGCGCAGAGCAGTCGGGCTGACATGTTCGAGGATGACGTTTCCACGGCCGCTCTCCATGCAAAAACCGCGGAGCACGTGGGGATGTTCGCTGGGCTGCTGGCCGTCCTGGAGCACGGCGGGGGCGCCCCTCTGCCCGAGGGGCGTGATGGCGTGCTGATCACGGAGGACCACGCGGAGACGGCGTGGTGTGTTAACACCAGCCTTCTCATTCGAGAAGCCTGGCGCGCGGTGCCGTCTCCCGTCGAAGAAGACCTTGCCGCGGCCAGCTCTGGCCTCGCGGATCCAAGTTGCGGCGAATGCCAGCCTGACCTGTGCGCGGCTGCGCTGCCGATGCAGTTGCCTTGCCGCCTTTGGCCGCGCCAGGGTTCGCGTTCAGTGCCGGCGGCAGCCCGGCCGACCCCGCGTCTCTGGCAGACAGCGAAGAGGAAGAGCACGAGGACGAGGAAGAGGAACCGTTCGCCTTGCCCGGCGATGGCGCTGAGCCCCCCCGCGGCGAACCATCTGAACGCCTTGGAAGCGACGACCCCCAGCCCTCGGAGAACGGGGGCGCGCTGTAGCCCGGGGAGGAGGAGGAGGAGGAGAAGGAGGAGGAGGAGGAGGAGGAGGAGGAGGAGGAGGAGGAGGAGAGCGGAGCGGCGGCGGAGGCGGGGGCGGAGGAGGCGGAGGAGGAGGAGAGGAGGAGGAGGAAGGAGGAGGAGGAGGGAGGAGGAGGAGGAGGAGGAGGAGGAGGAGGAGGTAGGAGGAGGAGGAGGAGGAGGAGGAGGAGGCGGAGGAGGAGGAGGAGGAGGAGGCGGAGGCGGAGAGGCGGAGGCGGAGGAGGAGGCGGAAGCGGAGAAGAGGAGGAGGAGGAGGAGGAGAGGAGGAGGAGGAGGAGGAGGAGGAGGAGGAGGAGGAGGAGGAGGAGGAGGAGGGAGGAGGAGGAGGAGGAGGAGGAGGAGGAGGAGGAGGAGGAGGAGGAGGAGGAGGAGGAGGAGGAGGAGGAGGAGGAGGAGAGGAGGAGGAGGAGGAGGAAAAGGAGGAGGAGGAGGAGTAGGAGGAGGAGGAGGAGGAGGAGGAGGAGGAGGAGGAGGAGGAGGAGGAGGGTGAAGAGGAATAATACAAGGAATAAAAAATTCTAATAATAATCATCACAATAAGAATAACAGTACTAATAAACATAATAATAATAATAACAATAATAATAATAATTCTAGTAATAATACTAATAAGAAGAATAATATGAATAAGAAGAACCAGCTGACTAATAAGATGAATACGAATAATACTAATAATAAGAAGAATATGAAGACGACGAAGAAGACGAAACATAATAATAGTAATAATTAGAATAAGAAGCATAAGAAGAAGACGAATACGACGACGAATAAGAATAATAAGACTACTAATAAGAAGAATAAGAAACTAATAATAATACTAATAATAAGATTAATAATAATAATAAGAAGAAGGATAAGACGAACACGAATAATACGAATAATAATAACAAGACGAATAATAAGAATAATACTAATATTAAGAAGAAGACTAGGAATATTAATAATAATAAGAATAATACTAATCATAGGAAGTACAATATTAATACAAGAAGAAGAAGAACAATAGTCAGAATACTTCCAAGAATACTAAGACGAGTAAGAATATGACCAATAATACTACTAATATTAATACTAATACTAATGACAATACCAATATCAATAACACGAATTTAACTAATAATAACAACAATAATATTATTATTGATAACCATAATACTACTACTACTAGTAGTACTACTAATAATAACCATAATAATAGTAATAATAATACTAATAGTCGTAGCAGTAGTACTAATAATAATAGTAATAATACTAATGATAACAATAGTAATAATAATACTAATAATAATAGTACTAATAATACTAATGAGAAGAAGACGAATCATACGAATAATAAGACGACTGCGTATAATGATGATACAACTTAGAAGAGTAAGACTCATACGAATACTATGATAAACAATACTCCGAATACTAATACCAAGACGGGTAATAATAATAATAACAATTCTAATAATACTAATAACAACAATAATACTACTAATACTAATAATATCAATAATAGTAATACTACTAATATTAGTAGTAGTAATAATGATAGTAGTAGTACTAGTAGTAGTAGTAGTAATACTAACAATACTACTACTACTACTAATAATAATAATAATAATAATAATAATACTAATAATAATAATAATACTAATAATACTAATAATATTACTAATAATACTAATAATAATAATACTGATAAGAATACTAATAATGATAATAATAATACTACTAATAGTAGCAATAATAATAATAATAATGATAATAATAATAGTAATAATAATACTGATAATAATAATACTATTAACCATGAGACGACTAATAATACTATTAATACGAAAATTATTAC